TTTTAAATCCAACGATTTAAAATAACGGTGATTATTTTAATGTAGAAAATATCTTTATAGTAACAGTATTTTTGCGTGGAGTCAGTCGTGCGTCGAAGAGATTGCTGATATCCCAAAATTGGCGTTAATTCTATATTCGTGGGAAAAAATATTAATTCCTGGCTGATCCTGTCAACCAGTCTAGCGGAAAATCTGGAGGTATAAGAAACTGAAATAAAATCTTCACTTTGGTGATTTTTTCCCCCTACTATTCCGGGCGATACAGGGAATTGAAAAGATATGAAGTTGAATCGAGAGTAGATTCGCCCACATGCGGTACTTTTATGTCTAATTTCTCTTACAGTTTGGGCACTTCGACATGTATCTTAGGTATGACGATAAACTACATCCGGTAGCAAGTCCTCTGATCGGGAGATTGAAGGTTTCATTGCTGTTCCCAGGTCCATCCTAACCCTGGTAGTAGCACCTGTCAGGGTCCCAGCTATGGGCAAATAGTGACCGCCCCACAAACAAAAACAAAACTATTAAAGAATTTACACTATTTACATTGTTCGGACTTTTGTTCTCATCTTTGTTGCCATATTCACGACGTTTCGGCCGTTGTACGCTCCGGCCTTCTTAAGGTGATTGAAATTTTGAATCGAACCCTTTATTTCGTTCACCGGGGTAGGTTGTTCTAGTTGCCTCTTTTGGATGTCAGTATCAGTTATTTCCCTTTAACTCATCTCTCCAAACGTCACAAAAATGGAGAGGCTGGCAATCAAAACTCTCCAGAGGAATGACAACATCATCACACTACCAGCTAACAAAGGCAATGTGATTGTAGAGATGGACAAAAAGGAATATACAGAAAAACTAGAAGACCTCATTAGAAATGGTAGCTACAGTAAAGTGAAGAAATACCCAACAATGAAAACAGAACGAAAACTGTTACAGATCTTAATCGAGAACAAAGACCACTTTCTACCTAAGATATACAGGCGTTTGTCACGTTACAGCAAGCTACTTCACATATACGGCCTCTCCAATATTCACAAAGACAGTATTCCGCTCAGGCCAGTTGTTAACTGTCAAGGCACTGTGTGCCACCCTCCGAGTGGATATAATTGATCTATTAATAGAAAAGTCACCATCATATGTCAGAAACTCCACCCACTTCGTGAAAATAATCAAAAATGTTAAATATAACGTTAATCGCCATCTTCTGTCTTCCTGCTCTTTTATTGTCTTTTCTCCCCACTAAAATCATGTGATTCCATTTAAATGATTTAAGAAAAAATCCACCAAAAGCTGTGAGCAAATACATCTTGATACAAAATCGTGTTTGACAAGCTCTTACTCCAAAGGAGTTTGAACGTTACCCAGTGAAGACCGGAACCGCTTGCACTAACGGCCTTCGACCAGACTCTTAATATCAAGTTTCGGTGCCGTACCATGTTTGCTCTTCAGTGATGTCCTTGTGCCAGGCTAAGATGAATTCAAAGGGAAAACACAAGACTCAGAGCGTGAGGTATGCGCTTTAATATATTATATATGTTGGAGCGGCGTCTTAAACCTACATCTACGCGAATGCGTGCGGGCATTTGTATCTAAATGTTTAGACAGACAAACGCAACGCCGACCCGCCCCTCTTGATATGTCCATTGGTTATAGTAATTGCATTTAAACAACATGGCCCGCCAGATATTAACGACAAGTCAAAGGTGCATGACTCAGACATTATCTACACTTTTACTTACACGTACAATCTCTCCTGCGCGCTCGTTGGTTTTCGCCACGCTGTCTCCCCGCCTGCCTCTCTCTATCTCTCTTTCGCCGTTTCCCCTCTCTCCCTAATACCTCCCTCTCTCTTTTTGCTTTCCCTTCTTTTGCCGCCGTCTTCCCCTCTTTTTGCCGCCGTCTTCCCTCTCTTTTGCCGCCGTCTTCCCTCTCTTTTGCCGCCGTCTTCCCTCTCTTTTGCCGCCGTCTTCCCTCTCTTTTGCCGCCGTCTTCCCTCCCTCTTCCCTCTCTTTTGCCGCCGTCTTCCCTCTCTTTTGCCCGCCTTCTTCTCTCTTCTCGCCGTCTTCCTCTCTTTTTGCCGCCTTCTCTCTTTTGCCGCTTCCCTCTCTTTTGCCGTCTTCCCTCTCTTCTCTTCTCTCTCTCTCTCTCTCTCTCTCTCTCTCTCTCTCTCTGCCAGACTTCCTCCCTTTCTCTCTCTCTCTCTCTCTCTGCAGACTTCCTCCCTTTCTCTCTCTCTCTCTCTCTCTCTCTGCAGACTTCCTCCCTTTCTCTCTCTCTCTCTCTCTCTCTCTCTACGGGCTCCTCCCTTTCTCTCTCTCTCTCTCTCTCTCTGCAGACTTCCTCCCTTTCTCTCTCTCTCTCTCTCTTTCTTCCGTCTTTTCTCCCTCTTTCTCTCTCCCTTTCTCTCTCTTTTCTTCGTCTTTTCTCTCTCTCTTTTTCTTCTCTTTCTCTCTTTCTCTCTCTCTCTCTTTCTTCCGTCTTTTCTCTCTCTCTCTTTCTTCCGTCTTTTCTCTCTCTCTCTTTCTTCCGTCTTTTCTCTCTCTCTCTTTCTTCCGTCTTTTCTCTCTCTCTCTTTTCTCTCTCTCTTTTTTCTCTCTCTCTCTCTCTTTTCTTCCTTCTTTTTCTCTCTCTTTCTTCCGTCTTTTCTCTCTCTCTCTTTCTTCCGTCTTTTCTCTCTCTCTCTTTCTTCTTTTTCTCTCTCTCTTTTTCTCTCTCTCTCTTTCTTCCGTCTTTTCTCTCTCTCTTTCTTCCGTCTTTTCTCTCTCTCTTTCTTCCGTCTTTTCTCTCTCTCTTTCTTCCGTCTTTTCTCTCTCTCTTTCTTCCGTCTTTTCTCTCTCTCTCTCTTTCTTCCTCTCTCTTTTCTCTCTCTCTCTCTTTCTTCCGTCTTTTCTCTCTCTTTCTTCTCTCTCTCTCTTTCTTCCGTCTTTTCTCTCTCTTTTTCTTTTTCCGTCTTTTCTCTCTCTCTTTCTTCCGTCTTTTCTCTCTCTTTAAGCATTTTCTTCCGTCTTTTGACTCGTCTCTACGAACCACTTTGACACGGGTGTCAGGCTGTACTTCTTGATCTTACCTTTTGCTCTCCCGCTCTCTTTCTTCCGTCTTTTCCATCTCTACACTCTTTTTTCCCGCAGTAGGTCCGTTTCTTTTAGACCAGTTTTTGTCTGCTATTTACTCTGGGGAGAGAAGAAGAGATTCATCCTTTCTCAAGCGTTCTTCCGTTACTTTTCTCTCTCTTTATTAATTCCGTCTTTTGTGAAAAAGACAGACGTCCCCCGCTTCGTCCATCTTGTCTGTCCTGTTTAAACAAGATCATCATTTTTAAAACATTTTTGCCCCCCCTCCACCATCAGTATGGCTGATGCTAATCTCCAAGAGAGCGAACCATTTCGTCTTTTCGGACCGTTGAGCAACTTTATTCTCTTTCTCTTGAATATTTATAAGTTTACCATTTCTTTATGTTCTGAATATTGCTTTCTTCCGTCTTTTCTCTTTTGTCTCTCAGGAATTTTCACCGTTCCGTATAGGATTTTGCCGTTTTCGACGCACTTTATTTATTTATTTATTTTATTTTCTCTCTCTTTTTTCCGTCTTTTCTCTCTCTTTCTTCCGTCTTTTCACGAATTTCTTATACAAGATGAAATTTTTGCGTTCCTCACGGGTTAGAATAGAGGTTTAAATCGCGAGACAAAAGAAAACAACGTTGAGGGACATACCTGGCGGACTTAAGCAACAAGTGGATGTCAGAATGTGGTCTGTCCATTTTAGGTTTGTCGCACAATTTGTATGGGAAATTAAGACCGGAATCTGGGTTTTATAGGAACTAGTGGGTTGCCAACAAAGGATGGAAAACTTGAGGTGGAGGAAAAGAGACAAAGAAAACAACGATCGGACTTAAGCAATACGTCCTGAAAAGAGGACATGGCACTGAAAGATAAAAAGAAAAGAAGTGCATTGCCACAACAAAACTATGGCTCTTCTTTCTGGTTGAGATTTAGAACTTTTGAACGACCAACACCCTGGATATAATTGAATAAAACGTAATCGCACCTTACTTTTTGGAGAATAAAGTTGATAAAAAAACAGAAGCGGAAATTAACCTATTATTTCATTTCTGTGTTTCAAGCAGCAGCGGAAGGCTGAAGACTGCATCGGCTGAAACGTGTTAAATAAAGATAACAGTAATGAATAGAATATCCGGAAAATATATGGAATAATTTGAGAATCCATTTGTGAGATGTTTCAAAAGGCCACAGACAGACGCCAGTTTCTTTTCTTTCCTATCCTGGCGATGGATCGAGGAAGAAAGACGATCTAATTATTTGGGTTTTATTTACTGCTTGCCTCTTCTAAATGCTCCACATTTTTGCCGAGCCTTGAAATTCCTCTCTCCAATTCCAAACAATTCCCTGAGTGTAACATCTCTGTTGCAGATTCATGTCAACCAGTCGTTTTTCTTCCAATAGATATTTCAACCTCGCTTCAGCGGAAACACTTGTCAAATGTATCTGATTGTGTTTTCTTACCCCTCCCCACGACATCCCTTCTCTCTCTGTCCTTGCTCTCTCTATCTCTCTCTCTCTATATATATATATCTCTCTATCTCTCTCTTCCTTACTCCCACTCACTCGCTCAAGCTCTTTTTCTCTTTCTCTCGCTCAGGCTTTTGCATACTTGTTAACAGTTTCTCTATCGGTTTTGACCTCTTTTTATCTATCACTCCCCGTTTGTCCCCTCTTCTCTTCTCACCCCGCTCTCTCTTTCTCTCTCTTTCTCTCTCTCTCTCTCTCTTTCTCTCTCTCTCTCTCTCTTTCTCTCTCTCTCTCTCGTGTACCCTTTTCATCTTTGTATTCTTTGTCTTGTCTTCTCTTTCTCTCTTGTTTTTGTCTTCCCTCTCTCTCGTCCGTCGTCTTTTTTTCTCCCTCTCTCTCTCGTCCGTCGTCTTTTTCTCTCCTTCTCTCTCTCTCTCTCGTCCGTCGTCTTTTTTTCCCTCTCTCTCTCTCGTCCGTCGTCTTTTTCTCCTCTCTCTCTCTCTCGTCCGTCGTCTTTTTTTCTCCCTCTCTCTCTCTCTCGTCCGTCGTCTTTCTTTCTCCCTCTCTCTCTCTCTCGTCCGTCGTCTTTCTTTCTCCCTCTCTCTCTCTCTCGTCCGTCGTCTTTCTCTCTCTCTCTCTCTCTCTCTCTCTCTCTTTCACTCCCGTTGGTTCCAGGTGTTTGCCTAACAGTCTACTCTTCTATACATGTGAATATTATTATTATTACTAGGCTGTACGACAGGAAATGTCGGATGTTAACATAAAAAGGAAAACATTCCTGTAATCAAAATATGCGTCTATGTTTCATAAAGTGTTCGGGCTTCTTGTTCATGCCAATGACACATTTCACCAATTGTTTGTCGCGAAGAACCAGAAATCCACACATCTCAAATAGAGACGCTTTCTGATTTGTTTTCTATTGTTTCACAGTTCATATTCGCAGCCAAATCTCGAAGACTTGAGGTTTTGCTGAAAACCTTTGATTTACTCACGAGTTCCATTTCATATTTGTCCTCCATTAATCCTTCATGGTCTCTATAGGGCTTCCTCGACATTCATGTTGAATATTTTAATGTTCAGAAAGAAAGTGCAGAATTGCAGACGTTTTATATTTCCATTGACATAACACACTTCTCAAAATAGTCTGTTTCTACTAGTTTATCACTTAGATAGTCTGGTAGATATCAATGTTCACTGGGGGGAAATAATACCAAGCTAAATATGGTACTTTTAGAAAGGTTAAGGTTTCTTCTTTTGAAAATTGGAAAGTCCTCATTTGGATCACCTTGGGCAAGTTAGTTATGGGGGATAATTTACAAACCAGATCTGAAATAATGAACTTGAAGTAAAACCGTCCGGAGTAAGACGATAAACCACATCCGCGTCCTGGGTAAGACGATAAACTACATCAGACCGCAAGGCATTTGATCAGAAGGTTTTGAGGAGCGGGGAACCACCCTGACCCGGTGTGGTAGCACCTGTTTGGTCCCAGCTATGGACAAACAATTAACCCGACAAAAGGACTCAAAACACTATGAAAGTATAAAAATAGGTTGTAATACCAGCAATACATTTTTTGGAAAACAAATAAATCGCCAGCAATACATTTTTTGTAAAAAAAAAAAAAAAAAAAAAAATTACCAGCAATACATTTTTGAAAAAAAGAAAATTAACAGCAATAACAATCTTGTCGGCATTAAATAACACATTGAGATTGATATGCCGTAAAACAAATCAAAATAAACCTGAAGAAAAACGTAGCCGTATTTCACCATTATCAACTGGCATATATCTATAGTCATATATGTAGCAGTGAAACAGTAGATAACATAAGAAAACTGACATCTTTATATGCCCCTCCCTCAATGAAATACTGACCAGGTACTCACGATTTAGGATAATACAATATACCAATAATGGTCTGTCAAATTGAATTTGACAAATAAAAACAGTCTGCAGTAAGAGATAGAAAGAGAAAGGTGACAACCGGACAAATATTTTAGAATCCTTCTGATCAGCTCATATGTTACTCTAAGATCTTGCTCTCACTATGTCAAGCTTTCAAGATGGTCACGTGATATCCCTATGTTTTGCAGACTAGACAACAAAGTAAAACCACTGATACTGAGAACATGGAATTTTGCCTGGTTATAAGTTTTGTTAATAGACATATTGGCAGCAAGGTTTTATCTTCGCTTTGACCTCTTTCGTTTTGGTAGGAGAAAGGTCATATGAACGTTCACGAAAAAATGGGAGAGAAAACGAGACCGTTTATTTGTAAAGGGTAGTTTTAATTATATTAAAAAAAAAACATTTTTTAACAAAGTTTATTTTAACTCTTTTTGTTGTGGAGTAAATAAGACACCCCCGTCAACACAAATGAACTATGCAAGACGCTTTAAATAAAGAACTCAAAGTAAATCAAGAGAGATCTTTTGGGGTCAGTCGAGGAGAATTTCTAATGACGTCGCAACAAATAGTCTAAGCGAGATATGATATTAGAACCGCTAGGAGCGAGTTATAAAACAAATGCTAGGTTTCTAAATCCATTTTTTTTTCAGAGTATGATCATCCTTCATACTCCTTGAAGCATTCCTTACATAATGGAGTTGTCCATTCTTTGTACGAAGTTGTCCATTCTTTGTACGAAGTTGTCACCATGTTAGTTCCTTTTTTTTTCTCTTACATAGCACGCTCTTCGGAATTTTTTCGCAGTTTTATTTTCAGGCAAATAGTCCAAGAAATTATCTATTCTCTAAAATATGAATCCTAAAGTTGCCGATTGGCTGCACAGTCTCTTTGCAACTTTCCGTCTGTCTCCCTCAAGAACATGATTAACGCTAAAGTGCACGACAAATGCGTATAAAAATAAACTTACAAGGCATTGAAAGCAAGAGGCGTAGACGAACTTGTGTACATGGGTGGCAGAACAGGGAATGGGAGGGATAGTAAGGAGATAGATATTGCTTAGAGCTAAAAAATGGTAGGCGTGGAGAGCCATGTTCAACCTACTTAACGAGCTTGTGTAAATAGATGGCAGAGCAGGGACTGGGAGGGATAAGGGGACAGACATTGCTTAGAACTAAAAAGGATGAGAAGTTGTGGAGAGTCATGATCAACCTACTTAGCAAACTTTGCGCAAAGCTATGAAGCATAAAAGGATCTTTGCTTTGTTACTTGTCTTTATCACACTTCGTGGCGATTTGTGCTTCATTTTTCTTGAGGCGTATATTTTGTATCCGGGTGTCTGTTTTAATGTATTTTTGAGTTCAGGAGAACTTCACTAAGCCCTACTCTTTAGACCCAATCTGTTTTTTATATTAAGGAGTTCATCAGACCTCCAATAAGCACTACTTTCTCGGTCCAATATTAAGGAGTTTATGAAACTTTCAATAAACCGTACACATTTGTTTATTTATAGAAATTAACAACTTGTATTAACTTCTTCAGGATACAGACTTTATTTGAAACGAAAGATTTAAATGCTTTTGATGATCCTCTTTCTAATGGTTGCTTTATAATAAAACTGAGCTTCATTGTAAAATGGCCGTCCAAGTGATTCAAAAGCTATTACATTACCTCTTGTGTAGTATTCTTTTAGAGTTATATATTGTGTGTGTTACATTTTTTCGTTATAACTTGTCAAGGTGTGTTTTTTAAAGTACGTTTTTCTAATGAGAATCGGTAACAAAAAATAAAATTCCTGACATTAAATGACGCATTCTGTTACCGCATTTTTTTTTTTTTAATACGACTAGCCTGAGGGAAGGGAACCGAATAAGTCTTTATTGCCTTCAGGATTGGTTGGCAGAGATCATACAAGGGCTCTTTCCTGTTTTCTGCTAGATTTTTTTTAGACGATTTCACTAGAGGGCTTCACATTGTTCACTAAAGGTTTCAGAGGAAAGCAGGAAATTATTGGGACGTTTGAAAATACTTTGAATACCATTCTTACTTCCTTCTTGTGTTGAATGGAGATTTTTTTTCTTTCTTTTTTCTTTCTTTCTGCTTCTTTCTTTCTTTCTACTTCTTTTTTTCTTTCCTTTCCTTCGTTCTTTCCGCTTCTTTCTTTCTTTCTTTCCTTTCCTTCGTTCTTTCCGCTTCTTTCTTTCTTTCTTTCTTTCCTTTCCTTCGTTCTTTCCGCTTCTTTCTTTCTTTCTTTCTTTCTTTCTTTCCTTTCCTTCGTTCTTTCCGCTTCTTTCTTTCTTTCTTTCCTTTCCTTCGTTCTTTCCGCTTCTTTCTTTCTTTCCTTTCCTTCGTTCTTTCCGCTTCTTTCTTTCTTTCCTTCCTTTCCTTCGTTCTTTCCGCTTCTTTCTTTCTTTCCTTTCCTTCGTTCTTTCCGCTTCTTTCTTTCTTTCCTTTCCTTCGTTCTTTCCTCTTCTTTCTTTCTTTCCTTTCCTTCGTTCTTTCCGCTTCTTTCTTTCTTTCCTTTCCTTCGTTCTTTCCTCTTCTTTCTTTCTTTCCTTTCCTTCGTTCTTTCCTCTTTCTTTCTTTTCTTTCCTCTTCGTTCTTTCCGCTTCTTTCTTTCTTTCCTTTCCTTCGTTCTTTCCTCTTCTTTCTTTCTTTCTTCTTCTTTCTTTCTTTCTTCTTCTTTCTTTCTTTCTACTTCTTTCTTTCTTTCTACTTCTTTCTTTCTTTCTACTTCTTTCTTTCTTTCTACTTCTTTTTTCTTTCTTTTCTTTCTTTCTTTCTTTCTACTTCTTTTTTTCTTTCCTTTCCTTCGTTCTTTCCGCTTCTTTCTTTCTTTCCTTTCCTTCGTTCTTTCCGCTTCTTTCTTTCTTTCCTTTCCTTCCTTCTTTCTACTTCTTTCTTCCTTTCCTTTCCTTCTTTCTACTTCTTTCTTTCTTTCTACTTCTTTCTTTCCTTCCTTTCCTTCGTTCTTTCTGCTTCTTTCTTTCTTTCCTTTCCTTCGTTCTTTCCGCTTCTTTCTTGCTTTCTTCCTGCTTCTTTCTTTCTTCCTTCCCCCGCATTCCATGTTGAGTTATCGGTAAATTAAGTTCTCAATTATGCAAAGAGTTGCAGTATTTTTTGAAAATAATATTTCATCATATAAATTCATAACTTCATTATTATGTCTGCAAAGTATTTTGGACTGTTTTCCTATCACCTTTCACTTATGTAATCCATGATAAATCAACATTAAGAACCTTTTTTTTTCTTTCCATCAGTATGGCGGATGCTAACCTCCAGGCGAGCAATTCACTGTGCCGCCTTGGTCTCACGTTTTCCACTGACATGAAGTGGAGTGATTATATTTAATAAATTGCTAGGTCTGCTGCTAGGAAAGTTGGTTCACTGTATCGTGGCAGACAATTTTTTCTCGTCAGAATCAATCTTACACATTTATAAATCTGCCATTCGTTTGTGCATTGAATATTGCTGACGTATCTGGTCTAGTGCTCCTGCTATATATATATATATAATATAAAATATGTGTGAGATATTCTTGACAATGTCCAAAGAAGAGTATGCAATGTAATAATCGGTGCTAACCTGGAATCTCGAATTCACCGCGCCGTGACATGACTTTCCTGTCTCTTCTATATAATAAATGCGAATGTCAGTGTGTCACACTTTTTCAACTTTACTGCTTGAGGCCGTAGCCTAACATACCATACCATTTTGGAATCAGACTGACTCCGTGGGCTAATTAAAAACATTCTGGGCCAGATCCGGACTCCACAATC